ATAAAATCGTGAAGTAGAGAATATAGTCTGCTTTGAGGGGACATGTCTGTGATAGCCGGTAGGGAGCATGTGCCAGATTTTGAACATTGGAGCCCGAAAAGGGCACAAATGGTGATTTTGTGAAGGCTTTGGTTAAGATCATGTTGATGCCGATGTATATCTGTTGTATGTGTCTGAAGAGAGCTTGCCGATGAAAATGGGTGCTGTCGATGCGTAGCTGTATCTTGGTGTTTTTAAGGATCGAAGCCTAGTTTTTTACCTGCTCCTGATTGTCCTATGAAAATAATAAGTGAGAATCATTGTAGGTGTAAGCAGCTGGGATCGCCCTAAAATGACACGTGCAGCATCTGAAGGTAATTTATCGATTGTTAAAGATATCTGTGTTCTTTCCGTAGCCAACTTACGCAGAAATCCATAATTGCCGAACTGAAATGATATCTTGTTAATAAAAAAAACAAAACTTTCTCAAAACGTTCCCTTCCAGTTGACGTTACAGCATTTCACAAAATTCGATATTTTTCGTCGTGATTTCCTCCCCCAGCCCCTCCCTGCAACTTTTCAAGTGAATGTATCCTTTTTATAATATTTTTACTACGTTAACTCACAGCACCTTTTCATTGTTTCCATTGATTGATGAGAAACAGTTACTTTGTGAGGGTACTAGTTGAGGTTGCTCACTTTCCTGTCTTTCACGCTGCTCCGAAATCTCTGCTGGATATGACACGGTGGAGCGATGAATCCACAGCTAACTTCTTGTTCAGGGTCAAGCCGCTGTCGTTTTCATCGTCCAGGTTATGTCCTGGACTAGTGAGTCACATCATTATTGAAATCTCAGACATCTCGAGTGAAAGTGTTAGACCTCATCTTAGTTTTGATTTTGAGGACTTGAAGGGATAACCTTGTCTTTTTATTGTCAACTAAGTTAGTAAAGTGGCATAAGGTTGAATGATGCGTAATCCAGCCATAGAAAGTGCTAAATTTGCTGAAGAGGCACCAGAATTAGTCGAAAAGTGCGGCAAAGCAAAAAATTAGCTGTGGGAAAGCCAGATTCA